CCAGTATAGTGTACACTCCTTATATGTTATTGTAACTAAGGAGCTGTCCAGTATAGTGTACACTCCTTTTATGTTATTTAACTAAGGAGCTGACCAGTATAGTGTACACTCCTTATATGTTATTGTAACTAAGGAGCTGACCAGTATAGTGTACACTCCTTTCATGTTATTTAACTAAGGAGCTGACCAGTATAGTGTACACTCCTTATATGTTATTGTATCCAAGGAACTAACCAGTATAGCGTACACTCCTCATATGCTAATTGTAAATAAATAATGTGTTCGGTATAGCATACAACCTTTTCCTTAAACAGTGGAGCCGCCCGGATCCGGTCAATAATTTTCAAATCGAGGGCCGACGATTCTAAAACATTTTTGAGACGGTTTATAGAATATTTTCAGGGTGTGGCCAGTAAATTACTTCTTCCGCCATTTGTGCCTTTTTCTCATATGATTTTGTGTTAAAGAATTTACGCAATATAATATACGTCATGATTTTACACACAGTGCACCCACAGGCAATTTTATGCACATGCAACTTATGCATCCAGAGTCATGCCTCAATTACGTTGCGTGTTTGAATCAGCGTGGCAGCAAATTAAAATTAACCCTCAGAGTAGTACAAGGTGAATTATCCGTGGAATCTTGCCTGTAAACAGCACACTTCTAGATTTAAAAGAAATTCTGCTCATCCCACAACAAAGTTTTATATTTGATAAGACACTCTCATCCCTTGATAATTTAAATATCCATATATTGTTTCCCATTTGATACCCAGAACATCGTAACTTTAACTAGACCAAATATGCACAATTTAATAATTGCTGGTTTCGTAAATCAGTTTTTTAGTTTTCTTTGACATAATAAAAGAATTCCTAGAATATAGTATTTCATCAAACATTAATTTTAATTAGCTTTTAATGCCTTTAAACATACAAAAATTTTACATCCTAGAATGTATGGAAGACACAGAATATATGTATTTACACCATCAAAAACAATATTGTTTTCACGACAGGTTTTACGATGAATAGGATATGTTTATCGAAAACTAAATTAAAAATTACTTCATGATAGAATTTCGATAAACTTTATTGTAATTCATATATCACAAATTCATTAATCAAATAATCAGATTTTTTCACTAATTCTAAAAACTAGCAGAAACACCGCCCTACGGGCGATTGTTTGTGCTACTAATTACCAATCATAATATTCATACCTAATTCTAAAAAAACTGCAGAAATTTGAACATTTTCTAAACGTTGTCATCATCACATATTGCGACATTTTTCTTAGCCTGTCTTCTTCTTGCTGGAGAGATTTTTGAGCCCGTCGTTCCTTTTGGCTTCTTGCTCGCTCTCTCCTTTCATCATCATCTTTATACTTTTTTGGTCGTAAAAGACGTCGCAAAAATTATTTGCTGCAATGAATATCGCGACTAAATTAAACGTAATACAGTCAGTACTCGTATATCCGGCCACAAAAAAATAAAATACGGGCGAGGGGGTTCGCGATATAAAAATTTTGAGACTATAAAAATGAGACTAGGTGATCATATAGGCTAATAACCATGACATGCATTGATGTCCGATCGTTACAACTTTACCGCAAGTTTGTTTGTTTGTTTGAAATTAAGCACAAAGCTACACAATGGGCTATCTGTGCTCTACGCTCCACGGGTATCGAAACCCGGATTCTAGCTATGTAAGTCCGCATACATACCGCTGTGCCACTGGGGGTTTACCGCAAGTATTTAAGTCTTGTTTTCTTTATATTACGTCACATCTTTCAGTATTGTTGCTTTTAGTTAGTTTCATGATTTGTGACAAAGGTGAGGACATATTGGGTAATATATTAAAATATAATAGCAGTTGGCTCTATGATAAGGAAGCTTTTCCTGAATGTCTGTTTAGAATCTGTTAGCTACGAATTTTGATTTACTGCAGCGTAATAAACATTGTACACTTCAAAACAGTTATAAGGAAGATGCAAAATGATTTTACGATATCAGTTTTTTATCAATTTGAATATCCTATTTTCCGTGACAAAAAATTTCTTTAAACTTATTAATAAATAATTTTATCGCTTGGTATTCATGATTTTACTTTAAAAAAATGACATATGCACTTTACCTGGATAAAAAATATTTTTAGAGATCCTTTGACCTGGTTTATAATTTCATGTTTCGACTAATCTGTTCGTGATGATAGATTTTTATTGGACTTTCTTCACACGGAATTATAGACTTACAACACTAAAATCCAGGATACGATTCCCGGTGGTGGACAGAATTTGTTGTAGCTTTGGGCTAAAACAAAACAAACCCGACCCATTCTTCACACGATCCAAATGTCTTATGAAAAACTCAGGTTTTGAACATTAAGTGTTTTAGGTTGATTCTCATACTGACCCTAATAAACCAAATAAACAACGTGTATATCACTTTATGCTACGTAACAGGAGCTGATTCAAACAATAACAGATAAATGGATGAAATAAATATCTCTTTGTACAGCAAAATAAAAATAAAAAATCTTATAGCTTTAACGTATTTTTTACAACATATAAATAGACCAAGTCGTCATTTAAACAATATTGTATTTTTAATCAATCGAAACAATCTGGTGGCCATATAAACAGACATTAATAATTTTCCAGTTATATGTTAACTTACATCTTATACTATATGAAAGACAACACTAAGAATTATCGTACTATTTACGTAATAAATATGCTAAGGAACTAATCAATGCAATAATTCAAGTTAACATTATGTCTTTAAGTTCCTAAAGGCCAATGTTTGGGTCGTATCTCAGAAACTACTCAACTCTGTTTAAAAAAAAAAAGGTATTTACAACGATCAAGTGACAAATACAAAAATATAATGGCGTGGTACTGTCTCCTGATCATTATGTACGTAGGAGAAACTAATTTTCGCAATCTCCTATTGCCTAGAGGATAGACAATCATTACTTTATTACATAGAGAATATATATGAACATAAATACCTTATGCATGCAGCAGCACTATTTCATGTTGAACAAGAAAGTGATTTAATCGAACAAAAATGAGTTGTAAAAGTAAGTTACATCTTATCACAGTTGCTAACCAAAAAAAGATGATAAAATATACACCTTTTCTACCCTATTAGATACAAATATATCATGCATTCAAGCCAGGGATAGTTTAGGATAATTTGACCAACTAACAATTAACCAACTCACTAAGCATTTATACTTAAGTAAAACTTACTTCGGGAAATTAATATTGTAAATTATCATTGTAATACTGTGTATCCATATCAGTTTTGCTTGGCGGAATTATCCTTTCATGTGGCGTGTTCAAATCTGTTTCACGTGATCGAATTGCTTTTCACGCGTTGATGTTCAACTCAGTTTTGAATGATTGAGCAATACATTTTGTATATTTAAATCAGTTTCAAAGGGCTAAATTATTTCTTTACCTTTTTGTTTAGTTTGATTTCAAACGTGTAAATTATCCACATAAAGATTTATATTCATCTCGATTTCAATTGGTTGAGTTATCCTTTTCGTGTGTTGTTTTTATCTCGACTTTTATTGGCTTAAATTTTTCTTTCATGTTAAGTTTAGCTCAATTTCAAATAATTCAACTATCCATTTCATCTTGTATGTTCAAATGAATTTCGAATGGTTAAACCACCAACTCAGTTTCGAACGATTGGGTTACTCCTTTCATGCGTTATGACTTGTATTTACTCTTGGCAACTAGTTGGCAGTTCCTATAAAAATAGGATTCCTAGTTTCGTATGTACATATGGCTTATTCGTTACGTGGGCAAGTCGCCATTTTATTCGCATAATAAAGTATATTCCAAGAACGCACTACCATTTCGCGTGCAGACTTTGGACACATAGCGTTCTGGACGTTATAGAGAAATATCGATATATTTTTAAGTCAATTTGGCATGACATTTATTACTATATTATCCATGTTTACAAAACTGTCAGTAAATAAACACTACTAGACAACAAACGTTAACACTATGTAAACATATTTTCAAGTATAAGGTGATTATTTTATAACTGCTGTAAACACTTACCTGTTATAACTATAATTGACTGCCATAAATGAGATAATAGTATAGTAGAGCTAACAAGACAGAAAATGTGTTGTCTTTAAACCCCAAAATATTCTAAGGATATAAAAGATGCTATTTAAGAAAGCTTTGACACAGTTTATTTTTAAAGTGTAAAAGATATTGAGATTCGCTAGGTTTATGCGTTATGAAAATTGTTGTGAAGTTGTTATAACCTCTCGTTTGTGCATGTGTGTGTGTGTATGAAGACAAACTCGATGGGAATTGCTTTTAACAGATGTATGTGTGTAACTTATAGCAGAAAGTTACACAAGCTTTTGAGTGTGCACACATGTGCATGCGTATAACTTATAGCAGAAAGTTACACAAAATTCTGAGTGTGCACACATGTGCACGCGTATAACTTTTAGCAGAAAGTTGCACAAGTTTTTGAGTGTGCTTACATGTGCATGCGTATAACTTATAGCAGAAAGTTACACAAGGTCTTGAGTGTGCACATTTAAACTCGTTTAGAATTGCAGGAAGTATAAATTAAATGTGTGTTTGAGCGGAATCTTTAAGTGGAATGTGATTGTTTTTCTATCTTGTCTAAAAACGTGGATCTAACTTCGGAATGATTATATTATGAGGAATAAGATAAACATCATCGCATTAAGGGGTTGGATGGTGACTTGTCCAGAAAACACTGGCACCTGTAGTAATGCAAAGTGGGAAAAACGGGACCACTTCTTTTCCAAAGAAAGAAAAGCTACAGCAGAGTTGTATATTTAAAATCTTTACGTAATCATATTTTTCTCAATTTGCATTATTAGTGATGTCACTTTTATTGGTACAATATTTATCGACACAATTATTACCGGATTCCGGTGATGGTATGCAAATTTAAGTATGCGTTAATATTTAATTCATTTTCTTAACAGTGGTCCTTGTGACTGGGGCAACTGGGTTTGTCAGCAGCCACGTGATCAAGCTGCTTCAGGAGGACGGCTACAAAGTCCGGGGGACTGTCAGAAGTTTACAGAATGAAGAAAAGTTGAAACCCATCAAAGAACTCTGCCCAGATGCTCCACAAAAGGTAGAACTTGTAGAAGCTGATTTGACAAAAGACGAAGGATGGAATGAGTGAGTTCAAGTTTATCTTATTATTTTAATGGGTAATTGAATGATTAACTTTAAACGGTGACATTTTGTTCAAGGCTTAAACATCTCGACAGCGGTCAGCTCTAAGACTATTAATTATTAAATATGCTACGTGGTGTCATATAGGTTTCACGATAACAATGAATAAAGCTGAGGATAGTGCGGAAGAAAGGGATAGTTATGAAAATGGGGAGGGAGATAAAGCAGGAGGAGAATGACGATGCTACGTCAGATTCACAATGAACGAAAGTGAGAGGAATGAAGAGAATAGAAATATGAAGTTGCGATTGAAGAAGAAAAAGTACGAAAATACAACAGAGAAATAACTGTAAAATATAAATAATTAAACAAAACTTATCAATAGAAAATATGTGGAAAAAATAAAAGGTGTTCCTATGATAACGCACCATAACGCTAAGCTAAAAAAATACGGTGAAAAAAAGATCTAGTACAGGAGTATCTGCTGAGGATAATATAGAATATGATATCAAATGGCAAATGATATTAAAGAGTATAAAGTGGAATGAACAACCTTGGCACAAAGTATAATATCCAATGACTGATGATAATAAAGATAGTACGGAATGCAATGTCGAGTAACTCAGGGATGCAATGATGAAATAAGCGTAGTACAAAGGATAATGCTAATTGAGTAAGAAAATGGGTTTTATATGAAGTAAATGACTTGAAAACAAAATATGATATCCAGTGTTTGATGATTGTGAAGCGCATGATATCAAAATAATGAGATTAATAATACTATAGAGTAAAAATATATATGTGTGTGTGTGTAGAGGGAGAGCGAAACTGAGGATAGCAAGGAATATCACATTGATGAAATGAAATTTGTACAAAATATCATAAAGAATAATTGAAGGTTACACGAAGCTCACAACTTGAGAATGCTGTAAAATGTAACGTCTAGTGACTGAGGATGTAGAGAAAAAAATAGTATAACATAATATAATGATTAGCAGTACAACTACAGAAATAACGGATAACAACATATTTAATGAAATATATACATTCCATCTTCATCAATTCCTACATTAAATATATTATGAAGGTATTGAATATTGTATTTAGTGTAAATATATGTTCACTCTGGATACTATAAAAATCAATAAATGACTGGAATTAGTATAAATAACAGCTAGTGACAAAGAACGGTAAATGAAGGGAAACTGAGTATAATAGGAAATGGCTTTACTTAGTGCAAACAGTATTTAATGATCTGAGTAAAGTTCGCTGACCGGCCACATATTAGGACATACTTTTAGAACAAGCCGTTTATTATTTAATATTTAGCATTAATTAACGTGAGTGATAAATAAATAATAAAAATAAAGGAGGTTCTTTAACTTAAAAAATCTGTTTTACATCACGTTGATATTTTGCATCTACTTTATTAGGAACAGCTTTCAGAAGTCATCAGTCTTAATGAATAGTTTTCTGTAAGATCTGTTTGTGTAATATTTATGCGCATTGTTAAAATTAGGGCTAAAAATGGAACATCTCAATGTTAAAGACTGGCAACTTAAGAAACTCGAAACATATAATGCAAAAATATCTATCAGGGAGACAAAAAAATCGAATGACCATTCAGCCTATTATAAACCTAACTGAGAAAAACTCAGTGACAATGAAATAAAAATACTGTTTCTTAAGCCTAATTGTAGTTCAACTCTGAAAAGTACGTTATACTGGCATCATGGCTTCTACACAAGATGTATCCAATATAATAAGAGCAAATACGTTGTATTTCCAGTTTCATGAAGCATTCAACTCACCAACGCCAAAACTTAAAAGCAGCCTAAATAAGAAGAGTGTTAAGTTGTACGGAGTTAAAAAAGACCATCAAAATGTACTGAGTTTTTTTTAAAAAGCACCAAGCTGTACGGATTAAAAAAAAAGAGGACATTAAGCTGTACGGAGTTAAAAATAAAAGAAGAACACCAAGTGGTATAAAGTCATAAAATGGGAGAAAGAACAAGTTGTATAGAAGTTCAAAAAGAACATTCATTGAAGATGAACAAAGTGTGAAAAAACAACAGCGAAACAAAAGCATTATTATTATTACATTGCCTGCCAATAAGGCATACTCTATTTTAATCCTAGAATTACCTAAGGGAATCCATAATCACCGTTTGTAAGCACATTTTTCTGAACTATTTATGCTCTGAATTGTTTGTAGGTCTATGGATTTGTTAGGTACAGGGTCTCTAATAATATATGAGTTGTACAAATAAATATAAACAAAAATTCCCCCAATCTGTAATTAACCCCACCAATTACTTCTGGGGTTTCCTGCGTATTTTACATACAAAATGGGTGATTTAACAATGAAAGTTGGACATGAAAAATCAACTAAATAAGAAGTTTTGGAATATAACAAACAAAAACGAAATAAACATGGAACAGTACTTACTACTTTTAGCACACAATGCATCTTATTTACAACTCTATGATCTGGCAAAAATACAGACTTAATTAGCGTTCCTTAGCGCTGTTCTGGACTTTGCACATGCTCGTCGATGTATGTACTCTCTAAATATAGCAAACTATCTTTCAAGCATTCGAAAACCTTTGTCTTCTGATCCTGAACATTTGGAGAAAACTCGCATAAATTCGTCGCCATTTTTTCTGACCAAACAACATCCAATGAGTCATTATTTCAAACATCATGCACTTATTAAACATTTCCCCTAATTCTTTTATTTCCACTAGAAAGTCAGTTTTGCGGAATGATTGAAGGCACACCAGTGGGATCATTTTTGTCGCCTTGTTGTAGCAGAAATTTCTATGCATCACTTTGAACACACCGTTCTACCAAAATATCTTCACGAACTACGTATACGAAGAAGATGCATCTTTTTTATTGTGTGGTTTAATGAGAGGGAAAAATAAAACCAAGAAATATGGTGAGCATTTGAATTGCCAGTTTTAGAGTAGAAATTTTTCCATGGAACTTGAGATTGTCACTACTTTTCCGCACCTTTATGTTTTGGTTCACAGAGACTTTTTCACCAGAGCCTGACTGCTGCAGTTTGTCGTAGAAAAACTCATTATAATATTTGAATTTCCGTCTATTTTTTGACAATTTGTTTTTCTTCATCTGAACGATACTTTATGCACACAATGGGTTAAACGGTCAGATCACGAACCCTATAGTCCAAGCACGGTATTATTCAATTATAAACTGCATTCCAGAAAAAAGGCAACCAGACAGTACCACTATTCGCCTGAAGTGAGTGCTCTTTACCGAAAAGCAAAATTGACTATCACTCCTATAACACACCTACAGCCGAAAGTTACAAAAGTGCTTGATGTCTCGAACTCGAGGCTCTCAGATCCCCAGTTCACAAAGTACTAGGCCACTCTCGAGCCAATTTCTGTCAAACCTGGGATTAATAGAAATACTCATAATCTAGAGTTCTAAATATTTGATCTTCATATTACATCTGTAGGCTCAAATAATACAAAAGGGGGACTGATAAGTTTTAGAGACGTCTTGAATGAGTAATGAAGTGAACATTATTGCAAGTTTAATACAGTAACAAAGTACAACGTTTCGACAAGGTTTTATCGTCATCAGGAGTCACATACTGTTGTCGAAACGTTGTACATTTGTTACTGTATTAAACGAACAATAAAGTTTTCTTCGTTACCAATTCAAGGCGGCTGTACATTTTATTAACCTCAAAGTGGGTGTCTCGTTATCAAACTAGGAAACATTAAGAATTGTGTTACGAACACATCGGTTGTTGCTTAGGAAAAGATCAGAATGTAGACTTAAATAATGCAGAAACTCCAAAACTATGTCTTAGAAGTATCTTACATTACAATTTCAAACGTACCGGGTCTTTATAAATTAATATCGTAAACTGTTGTAAAAACAAATTTAAATTCACTACTTATCACTTTTGCCTTTGCTGGTAACTTAATTTGTTGTGGTTAATTAATCCTAAATTAATGTTTCAATATTATTCGAAAGGGTTTTGTTTACATTTCATAGCATGACTATGAGAGTAAAATTGAACTTCTTTATTCTTGTATTTATGTATTCTGAATGAAATAATTTGAGCTAAACTTCGGTGTATTTTAACAACAACTGTAGTTCAGTATACTTTTAGGTTACGAACAGATATAAACTTCAAAATAAACAGATAAGTTTTACTTTTCACGGTTTATATTTTTTTTGGGGGGGGGGTCTCACTACCCGACGAACAGTGGCTGGCTTGAAAGGGGTACAAAAGCTTACATTAGTTGCCGTTCGATGTTTGTGTTTTAAAGTATTCAATGTATACATTTCTTCGTTTAAGGCTTCAGTTAAAGGGACTAAAAGCTTGCAATAAAAGCAAGCTTATTAAGTATTGTGATGAATAGTTCTAGTAATTTAATTAAATACACTTTCTAGAATATCAGAGCATTGTATAGAATGTGATGAGAAGTTCTAAAAGAGGTGAAGATAATCAATAAAAAGACACGTTTTGCTATTTGCTCAGAAAAACTCAATGTGCTCCTGTTAAAGGACTCAACAAATTCTGTGACTTAGATGAAAGCTGTATCTGGAATGGCATTTCTTAAATGTTCTATATTTATAATCTACTTTAGCTTTATTGTTATTAAATCAGAGTGTAGCAAAAATTAATCATTTTTCCATTGCTTTGATACCTACGGAGATCATCATTCGGATGTAGCTTGAAAATATACCATTTGTTCCTAAATATGTACAGTTATGTCGTCAAAGATGTTTCAGATGTTTGACAATCCAACTTTTCATATACGTTTCAGGTTTTAGCTAAAACATTATTTTATCTATATATATCATTTTTATTTAATTTAATTCACATTTTCTGCTATTTTCACGTGTGTGTAATGGATTCCAATTTTATATATTCTTCTTCTTTAACTATTACAGTACTATCGTATCAACAATATACAGTACTGGAGATACTTACCATAACGCACGGACAGGTGATACACAGACAGGAATCACAAACAACGAGCAATTTAAACTGAATGATTAATTTATTACTAGCTGGAGTACCCGTCCCCTGGAAGGAAGCTATGTAAATTCATGATTAATGAAAGGTTATCTAAGGACATGAAAAGTTGTTTCCCTTATATGTAATCGTAAAAACTCAAAAACGTCAATAAAAACTGCAAAACATAAAATGTGAAACCGCAAACTTGCATGTATCTCCCCGTGGACCCAATGAATTCCATACCATATTTAGTTAAAGGTCCATCAACAGGGGGCGAAGTAGTGGTAAAAAACTCAAAAAACGTCAATAAAAACTAGCAAAACACAAAAATGTAGAAACCGCTAACCTTGCGATGTATCTACCCCGTGGACCCAATAGTAACTTCA